CCAGGCCGAGCAGACCTAACTGGGTTTGTATGAGGCCAGACTCTGTCAGGAAGATATTGTGTATTTCTGGTATGTTTCCATGTATTCCTAAACTGAAGGCAGGATGCTGCTTTCCTTTAAATGAACAGCTGAGCCCTAAGGTGCAAGAGGACAGCCAGGGTCATCAATGGAGTGACATCTGGTCCACTGTGTCCATTTTTATTCAAGGTACACAACTGTATTAATTAGCTCAGGCTGCCATAACAAAGTCCACAGACTAAGTGTCTTCAGTTCAGTTCAGTTCAGTCGCTCAGTCATGTCCGACTCTTTGCCACCCCATGAATTGCAGCACACCAGGCCTCCCTGTCCATCAGCAACTCCCGGAGCTTACTCAAACTCATGCCCATCAAGTCAGTGATGCCATCCAGCCATCTCATCCTCTGTCGTCCCCTTCTCCTCCTGCCCCCAATCCCTCCCAGCATCAGGGTCTTTTCCAATGAGTCAGCTCTTCACATGAGGTGTCCAAAGTATTGGAGTTTCAGCTTCAGCATCAGTCCTTCCAATGAACACCCAGGACTGATCTCCTTCAGGATGGACTGGTTGGCTCGCCTTGCAGTCCAAGGGACTCTCAAGAGTCTTCTCCAATACCACAGTTCGAAAGCATCAATTTTTTGGCACTCAGCTTTCTTCACAGTCCCAAAAAACAACAGAAATTAATTTTCTTATGGCTCTAGAAGTTGAAAGTTCAAGATCAAGCTGTTGGCAGGGTTGGTTCCTTCTGAAGCCATGAAGGAAGAATCTGTTTCAGGCCTCTCTCTTTCTGGTAGATGGCCGTCTTCTCCTTGTCACTTCGCATCATCTTGCCTCTGAATGTGCTTGCCCGAAGTTCCTCCTTTTGTAAGGACAACAGTCATACTGAATTAGGGCCTGCACTAATGACTCTGTTTTAACTGTGTTACCTCTTTAATGAGCATATCTCAAAATACAGTTACAGTCTGAGATGCTAGGAGTTAGGACTACAACATACGGATTTTGTGGGATGAAAGGGGATACAATTCAGTCCATAACAACTACACAGTAGATATCCTTCCCTCATAGTTTCAGCCTAAAACAAGGCATGTAGGTAGTAAGTGACAAATGAACCTTGAATCAATTGTGGTCCATTTGGTGGGAGTTGGGATTACTTTGTGAGTTGAGGAAGCATATAAAATAGTTCAGATGCGAAGGGCGGTATCTAGGATTGGTCCTCAGTTCCAACTAAGCCTTTAAAGGAGTTGTCTGAGAACTTGTGAAAGTGACTCTCTTTGTCATTTTGTAAACTAATGATGAGATTCTCTGTTCAGGGAGGTTTCTGATGGTCCCCCGTTCCACGTATAACAAACTGCCTTATTCTTCTCCTGGGCCTCCCTTGACCAAAGCACTGTTGATTGACATGCTCAAGGAGCAGAAGTTCCTGTGGAATGACTGACTCTGTACTCTTCACCTATGTCAGAGATCTCTCAGTAGCCTGAGCCAGCCTATGTCACTTGCACTGATGCAGGAACAGACATGGTGAAGAAACGTATCCTGTCTGGCCCAGAGAAGTGACAGACTCTCATGCTGCTGGAATGATTCACAGTCTAAGATTCCTCCCAGACATCTAGTGAATCTAGTTAATGAGGAGCATTTCTAGTCATCAGTCTTCAGTCCTACTTATCCTCCATCTTTGCTCCAAACAACTTTTCTATGCTTACTGCATGCCCTCCAGCCTTTTGATACCCAATAGTGGTTAAAAAATACAAGCTCTTTCCAGGTACCTCTTGTTCATTGAGAGAACAGTGCTTCAAATCTTAAAGATCTAGGCTTACCTAACATTTACAATGAAATCCCCTCTGTATCCACAGCTCCTTAGGAATGTCTCAAATAATGAGCAATCCACTGCTTTGGGAAACAACTCATGTCATTTAAAAAATACTTTCCATTTGAATGACATTTTTCCTTTTTGGAAACTTGAGTTTGGCTCTATCTAAAATCCCTAGTCTGAGCTCCATCGGTCATACTCAATCAGCTGAACCCATCTCTTCTACTTGACTCCCAGTGCACATCCGAGTGCCACTTGGGAGCCTTGCCTGAGTCTTCTGTACCTTAGGTCAGGCAATACAACATCTCCAAGATAACATCTTTTGTTTGGATCTTCTTTGGGGCCTCAATCCTCTGAATGGCTTCTAGTGGATCATGACTAAAAAAGGCTGAGATTCCTTCTCACCTTTCAGGGCTCAGAGCAAATGTTACCTTCTTTGTGAAGGTCTCCTTGATCACTCAGATACCAGGCAGTTGACAACTTTCTTGGTATTCTCAGACCACCTTGTACATTACTCTTGCTATAACACTTGCTGCAGTGTATCACAACTGTTGATGGGCATTTTCTCTCTTGCTCAGTGTATGATAACCCTTTCCTTAACAAGGGACTGAGCCTTCATCATTACAGTCTTCTCCGTTCTTGGCACAGAAGAGGGGATTCAGGTTTACTGGTTGCTTTACTAATTCAAGAAACCAAAGGTCAAATTTCAGGTACCATGACTGGTCAGAAATGGAAATATATTTGTTCAGGGAGATTTTTGACAGTCTTCAGATGATCCTCTTTTAGGAACATCCTGGACAACTTATATTTAAATGATCTTGGGGCAGGCTGAGAGTCTTGCAGGAAGCAGAGTGCAGCGTGGTTTACCACTGAGAACTCCATGATGCTTCTAGATGTTCCAGCACAAATCCTGGCTTGCAGCTCTAGTGTCAAATAATATGTGGGGTACCCAAATCCTCACCCTAGTTAATGAGGCTTGACATTAAAAAACTGTCTTTTTATTCTCATTGAGGGGAACTTGATCATCAGACTTGCTTGTTTACTTTTCTAAGATGAGTGTTGGAGACCAGTATAACTAAGGGATGATTCCTCCCAAGAAAGATAGGAAATCAAAATGTATCTCCTCCCTTTCAAGGCACGTATTTTCCAAGAGGAATTTTGGCCAGCTTGCTACATCATTTGCTTGCTTGCTAATATTATATGAATATAAATCCTGAATACATTGAGGGGCAGGAATACTCAGAAGTATTCCCTGAGATAATACTTCCTCTCCAACCAATAAACAAACTGACTTTGTATTTTCAGGGAAAATTTGTTAAGACACTCTTCCAACTAAAATACATTCTAGGGCTAGGAAGAAAGAATCTATTCTGTTCATTTTCTCAGACTCCTTCTTTATGGTGAGTAGTGGATATCTATAGAACACTTAAAAATTCTTCAAAGACAAAAATATTCAAGTTTTCTCTTGCCATGATCTGTAACCCATTCTTATCAGCAACTGCCTTTTTATTTTAGCATTTTTGGCTGAGTTCAGTGTTTGAAAGGTGACCTGCTGGCTTACAACACCTTCAGACTTTGCATCAACCCAGCTACCAAGATGTTTTTCCGAGCTGATTGTTCTTCTCCTTTTAAGATCAGATATGACTGTTCTTGTAGTAATCTAGCATGTTCATGGAAGATAACTTTGTAGAATTGCCCGGCACAATATTTGTCATTTGGTGTAGCCTAAAAGAAAATCCGCAGAATTAAATAAATGCAGTGAGAGTCTTCCCATCTTAAGTGGGATTGGGAGGCCTGCTAGGAGGGCCATGGTAGGAATGCTAAATGTTCAATTCTAGGTCTCTGGACCATATCAGAGGGACTGCTATTACACTGTCTATGTTCCAAACATACAGATGAGAAACATCAGAGAAATTTCAGAGGAAGAAGTATTAAGAACTAAAAGTTCACTTTTATGCTTGAAATAGATGGTTTAAAAGGTAAAATAACTTTACAGTAAACTTTTGGAGTTTCAACTTATTTATATTTTCTATTTCAAATTGATGAGATTATTCAGGAGAAATAGTTCCACTGTACAGATAGGTAACTATGCCTGGGATACTGTCCTAATTTTCCATGGTCATTGTTGTAGACACTCAAAATACCTCCCTCAAAATGGAGGTCCAGAGTCTCTGTCAGAGATAGAATCTAGACCCAAGATGCAGGATTCATGTTTCTTATGCTGTAAGCTTGTTAGAGCTGCCTGATTCTATTGTAATTCTTACGGTTGTTGGTAAGGCTCTGCCAGTCTGCTGGAGGGGAGGCCTCTACAGAGACATCTTTTTTCTCCACCAGTAAATAAGGCAAGAGCAAGTGAATGTAGCTCTGAGAATTCAAGACAAGTTTATTAAGATGCCTCTGAGCTCGAGGCTCTCATCTATGGAGGGAGTGTGGCAGTTGGGAGGTGAAGGTGCAGGTGGGGGGAGTGCGTCATTGGACAGTGAGTGCAAATACAGTTGTCTAGGCAAGGAGAGAGGGTGTTGTTTAGTATTGAAGTCATGTATTCCAGATGTGGGCATTTGGTAGTCAATCTGCTCTGAAGTGACATGCTGCTGAATCTTTAAAGGGCTTCAGCCAGGGAGAGCAAAATCTGATTGGGCAAATTGCTAAAATATTTAAAGTGCAGCTTGTTAAAGCTTTTACTGCGAAGAGCATCACGTCAGAAGTTGTAGTCAGAAAGAGCGAGTAATTGGCTTTCCATCCTCATGCCAGTCAGTCAGCATGAGGCTCTATTCCTATTCTTTCCTCTTCATTGCCAATGCTAATAACAACCCTTTGGGTGTGTGCATGTGTGTGTGTCATGGAGAGACTGGATAGCTGGTAAATGAGAATAGGAGGAGTGAGACATCCATAATAAGGGAGACTGAATCCGCAAAGTGATGTGAAGTCCATTGTAGAGAAAGGGGAATGGGAAAGAAAGGCAGAATTACTACCTGACACAGATCACCTGCACATCCAGGAGGTGATGGGGGTTCAGGGCAGTTATCTTTCACAGGATGGGTCCTGCAAGTAAAAGATTGGCCTTCAGTGACAAGTGCTTCCTCCGCTTCTCCCATCTCCTCTGAGATGGAACTCAGGGGGCACTTTCCATTTATAATTTATCACATTTTCCACTTAAGTTTTCCTGTACTTTTCTCCCCAGGCATGACCCCTTGTTAATTCCTGGCAATGATCAGATTGACAACATGGACTCCAATGTGAAGAAATATGACTCTACCGGGATGTTTCACTGGTGTGCACCCAAGGAGATAGAGAAAGTCATCCTGGTGAGTGACAGGTTGCAGAATCTGTGCCATCCACTTCTGTCCCAAATTATATTTGCTGTGAATGAAGTTTTCCTAGCTGGGTGGTGGGGTGTTTGTTCCTGGCCCTAATTATTTTTGGTAATTAATATTCAGGACATATGTTGAAGCAGCTAGAACTCTTATCGGAGCATCACCTAAGAGTAGAATTTTCAATCTCTGAATATGTATTGGCTCATCACCTTAGGGTGTGAAAACCATCGTGGGAGACAGTATGTACCATAACTCTTGCAGGTGTGGTTGTCAGGCCAGAGCCTGCCTGTGCATTTGCTGTGTGGCCTTGGATAAGTCCCTTGAAGAATTTGTACTTTGTCTCTTATGTGTAGGAAGATGGGATGAGGATGACCTTAACTCATAGAATTGTAGTGAGGATTAAAACCCAACATAAAACCCAACTCCATAAACTTACCTATTTTTATTATATATTAAATGCCATGAAGAAATCTGAATGCTACCTGTATTATCATGTGTTTATAATAGTGTCTTGTATCTTTCTAGATAATAGATTTGCATATTTGTGATCCTTCTTAGCTCACAAGGTAGGCAGGCAAATCCCACTTGCTGATGATGACAAGGATGACCATGGTCCACCTCGGAAAGGCTCATAGCCTTTCCGAGCTCATAGCCCCATTTCTTGGTTGACTCATCTCAGTAGCAACAGTGGGCTTCTTCTGGTCTGTCTCAGGAATGTCAGAATAGATATTAATCCATGCTATTCTTTCAGAGAAGACAATGGCACCCCACTCCAGTACTCTTGCCTAGAAAATCCCATGGATGGAGGAGCCTGGTAGGCTGCAGTCCATGGGGTCACTAAGAGTCAGACATGACTGAGCGACTTCACTTTCATTTTTTACTTTCATGCATTGGAGAAGGAAATGGCAACCCACTCCAGTGTTCTTGCCTGGAGAATCCCAGGGACGGGGGAGCCTGGTGGGCTGCCATCACACAGAGTCGGACATGACTGAAGTGACTTAGCAGCAGCAATGCTATTCTTTAGACTTGTCCGATTAACAGCTTAAGGTTTTATGGCTACATCGGCTTTCCTACCCATTTATTGTCTTGCTAATCCATGAAAAATGGATTAATAATCAGGAAGTCAGATGGAAATGTTCTTCCTCCCTTGTGCTTTCTAATCCTCAGATTGCTGAGGCCTGCTCCTTTATGTCAGCCAGGAAAATCCTATCATTTCTGATGTTATGGCCACCGTTCCTAAGAAAGGATGGTTCCAGTTCCTCAGAATGCCTTTGTGCTCTAATCCACTAGGTTTTTCCCTGTGTTTTATCTGAATATGTGTGTGACTTCTCAATTTAATTATAGTCGAGCATTAAGAACCAACACAGCTCTGTGCTGGAGGCTGTTTGGGAGGTGTGAAAGTTGCAGACAAAAGCATAGAAAGTCAGAATTCTCAGGAAACAACCCTTGTCCAAGGAGTGCAAATGGTTCTCATTACAAAGCTGCTGCTTTTGTTTATATTCTGATGTTGTATCTGCCCCACTTTTGCTCTGGGGATATAAACTCATTCTGGTGTTGCCCACCTTGGGGCATATCAGAAGCTGGGTTGACATTTTGGGATGCAAGCTTTCCGTGGCTTGCCTAGGTAATCCTGAGAAGTACGTGGCTGACACTCAAAGCACCCTACCGGCACCAAAGAGTTTAATGAGGTGAGTTACTACTTCTCTTACCTGAAAATAGGATCATTTAACAAAACGTATGTAACAAACCTATGACACTTGCTCTTTGTTGCTAAAATACAACCCCTGACAACAGCTGGTCTCATAGATCTTGTAATCTAGTGGGGACAAAGACCAGATCTCAAGATAGACAATGACTATGTAATAACATTTTAGATATTGATAAAATGCTATGAAGAAAATAAAATGGGGTCATGGGCTAAATCCACCCTGAATATCCATTGGAAAGACTAAAGCTGAATTTTCAAAACTTTGGCCACCTTATGTGAAGAGCATTGGGAAAGACCCTGATGCTGGGAAAGATTGAGGGTAGGAAGAAAAGGAGGCAACCAGAGGATGGGGTGGTTGGATGGCATCACTGACTCAATGGACATGCGTTTGAGCAAACTCTAGGAGATGGTGAAGGACAGGAAAGCCTAGCATGCTATAGTCCATGGGGTTGCAAAGAGTCAGACAGGACTCAGCAACTGAACAACAGCAGCAATGTGGGCTAGAAGGGGCTTCCCAGGTGGTACAGTGGTAAAGAATCCACCTGCCAATAAAGCAGATGCAAGAGACAGAGGTTTGACCCCTGGGTCAGGAAGATCCCCTGGAGAAGGAAATGGCAACCCACTCCAGTATTCTTGTCTGGGAAATCCCACAGACCAAGGAGCCTGGAGGGCTACAGTCCATGAGATCACAAGAATTGGATGCAACGGAGCACCCACATTTACATGGGATAGAAAGGGACTTGTAGGTGCTGTTTAGACAGTGTGGTCCAAAAAACCCTCTGCCAAATAACCCTCTCAAAGAGATGAGAATGATTATGAGAGCCAGCTGCGTGAGGCTGTAGGATGTTTGTGGATGTAGTCCACTAACTGCTTTGGGAGTTAGACAATTTGAGATGGCTATAATTTTGAGAAAAGGACCATCTAATTAAAAGATATAATGTACCATGAAACAACATATTAAAAGCTAAATGTGACAAGATACAAAGCACTGTTTCACTCTAGTATGTATTTAAGTGGCCAGGGAAGTCTTGTGAGGTACAAACAGGTTGAGCTCTGAAGGGGTTAATGGCTGTGAAGGCCCCACAGGGACTAGGCCTTGAAGAATATATAGGAAAAAGAAGATACACCTGAGTAGTTTCTCCATTGGGTCTAATATCTGACTGAATCAGTCTCCCCAGGGCTACATCCTGGGAATTGGGGTCTTTACCAGGTTCTCCAAGTGATACTGCTCTGGTTGGTCTGAGGATCTGGTGTCTTGGACACCAGATCTAAGCTCCTGGGATTAGCACAGTGAATGGCTCCTCTGATAACGGTTGCTTTCCCTAGCTCCCACGTCTAGATTTCCGGCCCCTATTCTGAACTCAGTTTGTATTTCCCAGGCTTCCTGAAGGGAGCTAGCCTCCCAAATGACCTGGCCAAATAAAACTAATCAGGAGTCCCATCACAGCACGTTAAAGACAGGTTGACCCTCTGCTAGTGGTACCTAGACATGCATGCTCCATCCAGCCGAGATAACTCACTCATCCATGAAGTAGGGATGGGGACGTGACTCCCTAGCGGCTCCTCCTGGGTCACCATTTATAAGACATGTTTTATGGCCTGCATCTTAGATGTCCCTGTGCCATTGCAGAGAGAAACCAATAATAGTGACAGCCCCTGCTTTATTCTAACGATCAGGGAGTAGAAGCTAGCTTCTTCCTCTCCTTGGGGGTTACTGTAATAACCCTGACATTGTCATGAATTGCAATATTGGCATTTAAACAATCAATACACTGGTCAATTCTAGAGATTAAATTGAGCAGAGTTTGATATGTGCAGTGGACATTAATATGCCTCCCCAAAAGCACTGTAAGCCACATGGGGCCATCCAGACATGCAGTGGGTGGACTGGGAGGAAGAAAGGAAGTTGGGAGGCATTGGGCCAGAAAGAGAGGCAGAGAAAGACCCACAACTGGCCTCCCATGTTGCTCTTTGCACGAACACAGTAAGCAGAGGGGCCAGCAGGGACTAACGGTTTAATTGTCCTGGGAAGCTTTAACTCGGGTGCTTTTATTCTTTCATTTGTCTCCTTTGTGAAGTACAGGCCTGGTTGGGGGAAGATGGGGGCCTGTTGCTCTTGCTGTTATGATCCTTCTCGTGGTTGTTTGGGAGTCTTCCTCTGACGACTTAACACAAGTGGTCACTCTAGTTGTGTCCTTGGAGACCCTAAGGCAGCAGTAGATAGTGGTCAGCAAACTCTCTCTGTAAAGGATCATATAACAAAGAATTTAGGCTTTGCTGACCATAAGGTCTCTGTCACAACTAATCTTTTGTAATGTAAAACCAGCCTCTGCTTTTGTAATGTAAAACCAGCCATTAGCAATACCTAAATCAGTAAGACCAGCCGTGTTGTGATAAAACTTTTCTTGGAATTTGAACTTCATATAATTTTCACGTAGTATGAGATATTTTTCTTTTGATTTTTTTGCCAACAATTTTCAAACATAAAAACCAATCTTTGCTCACTGGCCAGAGATAAGCAGGTAGTGGGTTAGATTTGGCCTGTGAGTCATAGTTTGCTAGCCCCTGGCTTTGGATATCATTTTCTACCTTCTGATGTGGTAATGTCCTGTGAGATCCCATTGATGAGTCTAGAATTCAAAACTCATCTCTTGAGCCAAGGCCAGCATGAGTCTGACTATTTTATCATCATCTCAGCAACAAAGGAAAACAGTTTAACAACACTTTCCTGGAAACTAAGACTTCCTTTTCCAAATGACATCAGTATTGCTCTTTCTTATTTCTCTCCCTGAATCCTGTTCATATGTATGTATGGCATATCTTCCTTAAATCTTTTTTAAAAGAAAGTAGTGATGTGTATGAATATATATTTTTGTTGTTGTTTAACCACGAAGTCGTGTCTGACTCTTTGCAACCCCATGGACTTCATATTTATTACATCAATATAGTTTATATACATATACTCGAGTTATATCCCTGGTGGCTCAGATGGTAAAGAACCTGCCTGCAATGTGGGAGTCCCAGGTTTTATCACTGGGTCAGGAAGATCCCCTTGGAGAAGGGAATGGCTACCCTCTCCAGTGTTCTTGCCTGGAGAATCTCATGGGCAGAGGAGTCTAGCGAGCTAAAGTCCATGGGGTTGCAAAGAGTCAGACATGACTGAGCGATTAACACATGGCAGGAATATAACATTGAAGGAATAAAAAATAATGGTACACAGTAAGCACTCAGTGATTGTTTAATTTTTATTTTACAAGACTGATTTTCTAGTCCTTTCCACAACCCCAGGAGGTCTCCTCTCCAATGCTTGTGCTCTTCTCCCTCTGGCAGACCCGAAGTGAAGCTGCCATGACCGTCCTGAGTGGCCATGTGGTGGTCTGCATCTTCGGTGATGTCAGTTCTGCCCTGATTGGTCTTCGGAACCTGGTGATGCCACTCCGTGCCAGCAACTTTCACTACCATGAGCTCAAGCACATTGTGTTTGTGGGTTCCATCGAGTACCTCAAGCGGGAATGGGAGACACTACATAACTTCCCCAAGGTTTCCATCTTGCCTGTAAGTCCAGGGTCACATTATCAATGCTTTTTTCTCCTTTTTATTCACAAAAGAGAAATCCCGGATGAATATAATGGTTGTAGCTTTGATCATGCCTCTGCTTCTTCATCTGGTTATGGGCCTGAGGACTCAGCCCTTCCCCTACACTTTGTCTAGGAATATCCAAACCCTGAGAGACCTTATTAAAAGGAATTTGCAGCCAAGTTCAGTCACTCACCAGACATGGAGTTTAGCTGGTATCAAATGTATTAACCATATCAATGTCTAAACACTTTCTCTCTTACCTACCCAAATGCAGTGCTTTGCAATATTATAATGCTTATAGTGGAATTTACATATGGAACTATTTATATCACTTTATTTATGGCATTATAACTGCTTGGAGAAATCTTATTTTATCTTGATCTGTTTTTAACTAAATGTATTTAACAGAAGTCTTTCTTTATGCTGTGCAGAGGACCAACCCCTTCTGCTGGCCAACCCCTCCTTCCATCATTGTCGTTTAGAAACCCTGTAGTGTTCCCATGACATTGCATGTGTACACATCTGTGCCCATGTGTGCCTGTGATATAATTGATTATAAAACACATAAAAGGAACAGTTTTGGACTCCACAATGTAATGTGAGGGCATGGGATTCATGATTTGACAGTCATGTAACTAACTACTTCCTTAATTAGTAATCAATATATTTTCTATAAATTCCCAGATAATTGGAGAGCACTTTACATTTTAAACTTTGCTGTAGTTCTTCAAGCTACAAATCCATGCAAATGCATTATTCTCCAAACATTTTTCTTGGAAGTTCATATCCCTAAAACTGAGGAACACAAATTTGATTCTATATTTCAATAAGTCTGGATTTTTCCCCACTTTTGAAGCTAAAATTCATTTTTTCTGTTATTGGCTTCTAGAATCTCAGAAATGGGATTCTATATATATAATTATAAATATATTATAATTTATTTCATCTGTTTTTAACTAAATGTATTAACTAAATGTATCTGTTAAATATATATAAGTAATATAATTCAACAAGAAAGACATAAAAATCTATCCACAAGCAATGCCATTTGTAGCTACCATGTATCCTTATATATACCTAGCACAATAGACAATTAATATAGACAATAAATATATAAAGAAGTGAGAAAAATATAGACAGAGATCTGGATGCTGGACCCCAAACTCACTGACTTGATGAACACATGTGGTGAAAAATAGTCACCTGCAGAAAAGCAAATAGTCTTATACAGAAGAGCATAAGCAGAGATATACCTTGCTAATTTCAGAAACGTGATGGTTGTGATTACATATTTCCACTATTATTTTTCCTACATGTGCCTTTCTACATGTCCTTGGGAGCAATAGACTGGGGTATAAAAGTATTTTGTAAAGAGCTTATTGTTTTTCTGGGGTACAGGGGTCCATGTATATGTTGGGGGTCTATGTATGATGTTTGCTATGTATGTATGTTTGTTGTGTGCGCTTCCTTCTTCATGCCCTTGTACACGTCTACTAATCTGCCTATGTGTATATGAACTAGTTCTCCTGTTTGCAGCTTCTCCTGTTTCAAACCTTCCAAAATTTAGCACACTCAAACACAGCATATTTGTACAAAATGGGCTCTCAGCTTTTTCTTCACACATTTCGTTCCTTAAACAGGGCCCCACATATAGGGCCATCCCAGAGAAACATGGACTTCTCAGGTGGGCTAGTGGTAAAGAACCCACCTGCCAATGCAGGAAACTTAAGAAGTGTGGCTTCAGCCCCTGAGTCGGGCAGATCCCCTGGAGGAGGGCATGGCAAATCACTCCAGTATCCTTATCTGGAGAATCCCGTGGACAGAGGAGCCTGGAGAGCTATGGTCCATGGGGTCGCAAAGAGTCAGACATGACTGAAGCACCTTGGCACACATAGAGAGAGACAGAGTGTTTCTGTGTATGTCATTTGTATTACTTGAGTTTTGAAATCATGTGTGTACAGCTGTACAAGGATTGTCTTATATCACAATTACTGTTGGATTTTCTGCGAGGTGAGAATTAAAAGAATATGGATGTAAGCAGCTGAAACTTATGCATTGGTGAAATGATTCAGGAAGTTGATCAGACTTATTTTGCACCAAAGGCCCCAGGAAAAGAGGGGAGAGTTCTTCTCTTAAAAGATCCTGCTCCAGAGCTTGGAACTAGCAGCTTCCCCACACTATAGGCCTCTTCCTCCATAATTCCACTTTGAAGCAATATTTTGGAGGCTGAGAATAGAATCATTACTGCCACTGAGTCATAAAATGAGGGCTGATGGCCTTGATCTCTGCAACCAAGTCTAGTATTCTCAAAGGCCCCTTTCCAGGAAGGAGAGCAAGAGGAAGGCATCCAGAGATATAGGCAGTTGGCAGAGTCTCTCCCTACTGGCTCAGTGTGTTGAAGGTAACTCAGATCTCTGTGAAGGCACATCAGAAACTGGATTCAGGCTGGAGAATGAGGGAGGCTGGTAGCTGGCCGTGAACTCCAAAATGATGCCTGTGGGGCCCTCTTACGTGGGATGGCCAGATTATTTGGCCATAGCCCTCGATGAGGACACAGAGCATGTGGGGGTCATGCCCCTCTCCTTCAATCCTAACCCTTACATTTTACCAGAGGCTACATTTCTGACCTCTCTGTCATTCCTTCCTTGATCTGTTTTTATTTCTTCCCCATTGTTTTCTGTCATTATGGGACATTTCAAAAAATCTGTTTACTAGCTTATTTATTTTTAATTACTCCAGTAATATACAAATACATTCTTGTTATAAAATATTCAAACAAGAGAGAAGTATGTAAAGTGAAAAACAAACTTTTCCTCCCAGTCTTATTCCCCTCCCCAGGGGTAATTACTGTTATTAATTTAGTCTGTACTTTTTCTGAACTTTCTCTCTGAAAGTTTGTATATACATTCATACATGTATAGTTCTATTTTGTGGGTTTCTTTTTACATAAATGAAATCATACTTTCTGAATTGTCTAGAACTTGTTTTTTGTTTGTCTGCTTCACTTGTTCCTCTCTCTTTGCGATCCTTCCAAAGCAATACCTACATGGAGAACTCTTTTCAATCCTTTTACCTACTACATAGACTTCCACTGTAAATCTATCTGATGGTGCATTTAACCATGCCTATGTTCTTGGACAATTACTCAACTTCCTTGTTTTTCTCTTGCTGAAAATATGCAGTAAAATGATATGACCTGAAGCTTCACCCGCCCTTCCATCTTCCCTTTGCAAGATGCATGTTAATTGCAGTCTCTCCCACCTCCTCCAAATTGAGCGCTGCATTCAGCCCTACCTCATCACACCATGCTCCCTGGCTATTTCCCCTTGGCTGCCTTGGAAATTCTAGTTGGAGTTGCTGTCTTTTTGCCTGAGACAGAAGTGCCTTGCTATTAAATAAACAGGCATTTGAAATCCACCCCTTTGTTACATTCTGAAAGCCAGAGGTTGCCACAGGACAGTTACTTAAATCAAGACAATTTCCAGGCAGGAAGAAGATGTAGAACCCTGGCATTATTCCTCTCCCTCGTTAGTTAGTAATAGCTTGATTGAGTATTGAGAGCAAGCCTAAAATGCTGCCATCAGCACCAACTACCCTTTAGATTAGCACACAGCTCCTATTCCCTTGAATGTAGTTAGGCCAGCTTAATGTCAAGGCATAAAAAAGATACTTGTTAAATAATTTCCCAGAGCTCCGGCTCAATCTTTAATTTGTTTTTATTTTTTTGCCCCTCTTTCCCTCTCGTCCCTCAGTCTCATTTTTGCTTTTTTTTCTCTCTCTCTCTTTCCTCTATGCCAAAGGGTACGCCATTAAGTCGGGCTGATTTAAGGGCCGTCAACATCAACCTCTGTGACATGTGCGTTATCCTGTCAGCCAATCAGAATAATATTGATGATACTTCGCTGCAGGACAAGGAATGCATCTTGGCGTCACTCAACATCAAATCTATGCAGTTTGATGACAGCATCGGGGTCTTGCAGGCTAATTCCCAAGGTAAGGACAGCCTGTAATACTTCTCTGCTGTGCCTACAGGGGACAGGGGCTGGCAAGAGGGATATCCTTCACTCAGTAATTCAAAGAGGCTCACATCAGCCTGCCTGGTAGTGAAACCTGCTGTGGCTGCCGCAGCTTTCAAAGGGGCATCTCCTGCCTCTTCTTGCCAGCCCGGGAAGCAGGCTTGAGACCTGAATACCCACACTCACAATAGACTGCCTTCCTGAGAATAATCCAGCTTTTAAAACACCACCCTCTCAGCCTTCCCAAACAGTGGCTTCATGACCAAGGTCGCCAGGTAAATGTCAGAGCACTGAAACGATGCTGGCCAAACAGTTCCCAATGTTTCTGCCTGACACATATTTTTGCTGTTGACCTGGGTTAAGCTTTGCCATTGTTATAGCTGCATGGGGGTGTTAAGCTTTGCATTGTTATAAGCTGATCAGGGGATGGTGGTCTCTGGAGAGTGAGGACTATATGGACACTCAAAGTCATTTAGCAAGAGGTGACACTTGTCAGCCTGGGAAGCGTTCTCTGTAGGAGGCACGGCGGCTTTAAATGACACATCTGCTGTCTCTGCTCTGCCCCAGTCTTTCTTGTCATTTGTTCTGGGATCCTGGGCAGATGGTAACAAGTAAAGATGTTGTCTACGAGTCTCAGAGAAGCAGCACTGCTGAAACCCTGCAACAAACAACCTCACTCATCATGGCCTTGACAGGATAGGATGGGAAGTATTTTCTGCCAAGTAACACCGCTGTGTGGGTTTGCCATGAGCTGGAAAATCATTGTCACATGTGGTCTGCTGGATGGGTGGCATTGGGTGCCTGATGGGGACCTGAATGCCATCACCCTAAGAGTAAAGGTAGAGGATGAACAGCCCATGAGAACTATAGCCATTGGGCTATGAAGCACCATCTTAGTGATATGATAAAGCTCCATCCTGCAGCCTAGGCTTATGTGCCACATTATCTTTTGTCAACTCAGCATCACCACTGCCTCCTCCTGAGGTCTCTGCAACATCACAGTGAAGCCAAGAACAATAGTTCCTAGAATCCCTTTACCTGCATGGTTCTGGGCTGGAGTCTACCAATGAGAGAGGGACTCTAGGGCCTGTCTAGATGGTAGAAGAGAAAAAGAAGCCTTAATTCTTGGGAGGCAGTTATATCCAGACCTTGAACAGATGCAAGGTTGAAAGCCACTCTCAGCTGAAACTTTGGCAACCACTGACTTTGCTGCTTGAGATGGAGACTGGGGCGCGAGTTTCCCTGAGGGTCCTGAGGTCCACAGCAGCTGCTGGAGAGGTTCAGGAGAGCTTCCCCCTTGGTGTTGCAAGTGAAATGGATAATGGTGGCCTCTTTGACTTTGCTCCTCCAGCCCTTCTCTAGGCGGCGTCAGCCTCTAATTTTCATCATTCCTGTAGCAGAGTGGCTTCTATTCTTGACACACCCCGGTTGATACAGCCTGTGTCTTGGTTTTGGCCTCTCCACTCCACCCTCCTTTGCCTTGCCCCCCAGTTTAAATCTTGGTCTCCATTTGCTCAGTCATGCCTGTTGGACAGAGCAGTGTGCCAAGGCCCTAAGAAAGAGCCTAAACTCTTTCCCGCCTCCTGCAGGGAGCTGAGATGACAAAGGATGAGAGGAAACAGTGACTTGGCCTTCTTGGAGAAGGAAGAGGCAAGCTATGTTTTGGTTTCTGCCTTTAAGGAGTTGATCTTCACTGTGTGTCTTCCCACCCATACCTTAGCATGGGCATCACACAGGGACCATGTAGAAATGCAGACTCTCATGCCACCCAGACCTACCTGGTCAGAATCTGCATCCTAACAGCATCCCCAGGTGGCTGTGTGCACTACTTTAAGGTCCAATAAATGTTCACGTTAACAGCACGGGGTCCAGTGGACACACTACCCACCCCGATTAGATGCCCCTCTTCTCCCAGCAGGAACTAGCAGAGGGAATGGAAAAAAGTAGAAGCAGAGGCAGTGCTCCCTTCAGGTGGAGAAGGAACCAAACTGGGGGGAGGCGAGCAGGAAAAGACTCCCTTTCCCGAGCATGCTGGTTTCCCCCCAATTCAGTAATCATGATTTTCAAGGGCCTAGTTTAGAATCTTGACACACAGCTCTCTTAAACCTTTTCCCAGACTCTCAGATCCTATTTGATGGCCAAACTGGTTTAAAAAAAAATGCTTCCTCTCTCCTCTTCAGATACTCAATTCTCAAAAGCCTTCTTTACTGTTTTTTTTATCACAGCAATAAGCAAGAAAAGTAGATCTTGGAAGGAGAGAAGGAGGAATAAGGGAACTCATTTTTTTCTGCAATAAAGAGGGGCTCTTCTTTTGTGTAAACACACACACACACACACCACACACACACACACACATCCCAGAAGAGGCAGAGGATGTGCTCTATGGCTGGTGGTAGTCTTCAGAGACTCCTGGTTGGCACTGGAGTGGAGTGTACATCCCCTGGTAACCAGCAAGCATTTCATTCAACTCTTAATGAAGGACTGTCAAAGCTGTAGCCTCACTGAGTCCATATTCCCCATTGCTTTCTTATTCTGCCTGCTCCTGTCTTGTTCTTGGTCTTCTAACACTCCCCTGTGATGACACTCTGACCTTCTAAAAGCGGTGGCCCTGTGGTGGCTATCAGCGTTGGAAGTTACTCCTCCCTGATGGGTGAGTGTTGTAAAATCACCTCTGGCTGCTCACTGTGCAGCCCGCTTCTCAGGTTCATCCCAGTCCATGGAATCAGATGAACAAAGTGAGATTCCAGCTGCTCCCCACTCCTTGAGACCCCGGTGACCCACCAGAATGCCCCCTGGTGTCAGATACTTTTGTTGCCTTTCACCTGGGTGTTTGGCATGACCAGGCTCCAAGTGGATTGGGATTACCCTGGGTCGGGAAGATCCCCTGGAGAAGAAAATGGAAACCCACTCCAGTATTCTTGCCTGGGAAATCCCATGGACAGGATAGCCTGGTGGGCTGTAGTCCATGGTGTCACAGAGAGTTGGACACAACTGAGCGATTGAGGTTGATCGCCAGCCCCCACTTCCATCACTCTTTATTTTGTAGTCCTTATGAGATCCATTCCTTTGTTTCACCTTGAGAGCTGTGTTTCCACCTCTCCAGAACATAGCAGGTCAGAACTGTGGACCCAGGACAGATGTGTGTCCTCTGGGGCAACAGTATTCATGCAGCCTTACGGCAAGTTGTTCTAACATGAAATGAAACAAGATGTGTCTTAACATTGAGGAGGCAGAGTCTTCCCTGGGATTTGTGTCCAGACACTTGATATTGCGTGTTATTTGCTCTCCTAGACTCACAAAAGCTTTTTCCTCTTCTCTTTTCACATTCCCTTTTGGTGTCACTGTTCTAGCCCACATGGTGTCAGGACTGGCCTAGTGTAGGGATTCTGGACCAGATACTTTCTGAAAAGATCTGAAATGTGATGGCTGGTTGTCAGAAACAATTACAGAGAAAGGTGGCATAGTCCATGCTGGACGGTATATCCGATGTGACAGTTGGGTCTATGAGATGCAGTTTTAATATACAGCAGGCAAGACTGCAGTGACAATTATATAAAGCAGGTGAAGCTGCTTCTTGCTGGTCAGCAAACATCAGCTCAGAACCACTTTACAGCTCTTTACCAGCAACTAAGTGCCTTTATTTACAGAGTGCCTGTCACTTCCCTTTGGCTGGAGAGCTGGTGTATTATTTAGCACACATTTATCTGGGGAAAACATTTCAATTTAAATCAGCTGGTACAACAGTGGCTCTTGCCAGACTCTCTCCCTGTGGTTCTAAAAGATAGGAACTGAGTCAGATCTTGCAGTGGAGGGTGAGCAGAGTCCATTCTCAGAGAGCTGCTTGAGTCAGACCTGAAAGGAAGAATCATACGATTGAGTTTCCCATTATGTGTTTCTTGCTGTTAAAGAAGAGTTGATTTACAATGTTATATTAGTTTCAGGTGTACAACATAGTGATTCAATATTTTTATAGATTATGCACCATTTAAAGTTATTGTAAAATATTGGCTTTATTCCTTGTACCATACCATGTATCCTTATAGCTTATTTATTTTATGCATAGTAGTTTGTGTCTGTTAATCCCTTATTCCTGTCTTATCCTATTCTCTTTCCCCTCTTGACTGATAACCACTAGTTCATTCTCTATATCTCTAAGTCTGTTTCTGTTTTGTTATATACATTCACGTTTTATTTTTTATATTCCACATGTAAGTGATAACATACTATTTTTGTCTTTGACTTATTTCACTATGCATGATACCTTCTAGGTCAATCCATGTTGTTGCAAATGGCAGAATTAAATTTTTTTTATAGCTAATATTCATATGTGTGTGTGTGTGTGTGTGTGTGTGTGTGTGTGTGTAGGCCACATCTTCTCCATTCATCTTTTGGTGGATGCTTAGGTTGCTTTCATATCTTGACTACTCTAAATAATGCTGCTATGAACAATGGGATTCATGCATTTTTTTGAATTCATGTTTTTGTTTTCTTTGGATATATACCTAGGAGTGGCATTGCTCGATTATGTGGTAGTTGTGTTTTTAGTTTTTTGCTATTATGAATGTATATCTAATTATGAAATGAGCATTTATAGTTTCTTCCTGCTTAACCTTCTAGCAAGAGTAAGTTTTAAGGGGAAGAAAGAGGAATAAGTGAGTGGCCACTATGTGTCAGGCACTATAGCACCCAGAACACAAATGAGTACCATATTGAACAGTGAGGATCTAGAGCATAGGCTTATTGCCTTGCTAAGCATTTTGATTTATACAAATATGATGATTAAATCTATCTTTTAAAAAGATGATAGCAAAAACACGACCATGGTTTAGAGCTGGAAAGAGATGGTGGCATGAGCTACATGAGAAGAGTACTTCAGTGGACTAGAAGGGATCAGATGAGGTCTGACAGGACAGGTTAATGATGTTAGTTATGAAGATGACAGAAATTGAGATAGATCTGAAATAGAGAAAACAGCCA